ATATATATATATATGTATTGTTACATAGTAAGTGAGACCTAAGAACAGTCTAGGTGTGAAGGAGGGGTTGGCCTCACAGGCCCCTTGTGATGCCAGAAGCAGGGTCTCTTTTTGCAGGGGGAGCTGGGTGACTTGCATGTGGATATACTGAGTAATTAAAATGGCACCCAGCACTAATTTTCATGTGGTATTATGACAGTGATATTTTCCAGTGTGTGGAAGCTAAAGGGCTTTTTTGTACTCCAGACACTTAGGGGTTTTTTAAGCACGATGTAATATGTAACTTTCTGGCATGTCCTTTTTACCAGACCCGTCAGGTTTTGGAAGAACTGACTGAACTCCCTGTGATGGTTGAACTGGCCAGTGACTTCCTGGACAGAAACACCCCTGTCTTCAGAGACGATGTCTGCTTTTTCCTCAGCCAGTCAGGTACCATCTCACTTTACCACCCACTCCCTCCCCTCCCCCTGCCAACAGGAGCTGGGGAGGGAAGAGGCAGCAGGGCCAGATCCTCCTGCCTGCCTGTCAGTGTGTGTGGAACACGGGAGGGAGGAGGTTGGCACACACAGAGTGGAGCTGGGGAGAAGAATGGAGGTTCTGCTGTCCATCTGCTGCTGGGGCAGGGCTGTGTGTGCCTGAGTCTTGCATATGGTGACAGTAGTTCTGATTCCTTTCTCTGTGGGGAAATATTCTGTCAATCAACAGACTAAAAAAAGGGCTGCTGAGCTCTGGGTAGAGGCAGCTCGATAGTTTGTTTTGAGTAGTTTTAGTTCTGTATTAAAGCACAACCAAATACTGAACCATGCAGTGGATCAGCTCCATAAAAGACATGAAACTATTACACACAGCTATGAAAAAATACAACAGCCTTGGAATGGAGTATGAGATGAGAGACACTTCAGCATAACAAAGAGCTGTGTATCACATTCAGAATATTTTGAGGACAACTGCAATACAAAACAATAGGTTTTTTAATTTTTTTGCATTTACCATTGTAGAGTTTCATAACTGATCTTCAGCTTTGATACTAAAACTAGCCATTAATTTTTATCTATAGCTTAAAATACTCTTTTGGTAGCAATTTTTTTTATCTCAGTATCATGTAATTATCAAGGAATTCAAAATATCCTCACTTTGTAGGGGGCTCGCATTCAAGTTTTTCCTGAGTTTTAGACTGCATGTGCAGATGCTGCTCCTTCCCCTTAGGAGCTGAACTGTCCCTGTCTGACAGGGAACACAATTGAGAGCACACCAGGGGATGCATCTTTCCATTGAGGTGTGGGATGTGGCAAGCTAGCAGAGGTTTTCCTGGAACCTGAGCTGGGTCATCAGGCAAAACAGAACCAAAGTAAACATTAAGCTCAAATAACCCTAGTTCCCTGACCCATAAATCTGTTTAATTAGCCTTAGATTCCCACCAGACACAACTTGCTCAAAGTGGTGTGGTCTGCAGGGCAATTTTTATGTGTTCCTGTACTGAAGTGATAGGACAAGGGGCAACGGGCACCAACTGGAACCCAGGAGGTGCCACCTGAGCAGGAGGAGAAACTTCTTTGGGGTGAGGGTGGCCGAGCCTGGAGCAGCTGCCCAGAGAGGCTGTGGAGTCTCCTGCTCTGGAGAGATCCCAAACCCTCCTGGCTGTGCCCCTGGGCACCCTGCTGGGGGTGAGCTGCTGGAGCAGGGGTGGGATGAGATGATCCCCAGAGGTCCCTTCCTCATGCTGGGGTTCTGGGGAATGCAAGCTGGTAACACTGGATGGAGTACACAGTAGCTTCTGTTTCTAGTCCCATCTTTGGAGCCCAGCTGGCAGGCAGCACTGCTGGAACCCTCAGCAGTTTTATTCCAGCCCCTGCCCACCCCCCACATGTGAGTTTAAACCAACTTTTTATATCAAGTTTAATCAACACATGAAGTTCATGTTTGCACAGTGCAGGTTTTGAGCAGGGCTCATTAAAATGTGTGCCAGGGCTGAAGCAGCTACGAGCTCCTTCGGCTGCAGGCAGGTACCGAGCCCTAAGGTTCCGTTTGGGGGTGGCTGGAGCAGGAGCTGGAGCTGCTCCTGGGGTGCAGGGTGGTCAGTGCCTCTCTTTGCAGGGGAGACAGCAGACACCCTGATGGGCCTCAGGTACTGCAAGGAGCGAGGAGCTCTGACTGTGGGGATAACCAACACAGTTGGCAGCTCTATATCACGGGAGACTGACTGTGGAGTCCACATCAACGCAGGACCAGAGATTGGGGTGGCCAGTACCAAGGTAAGGCACACGTTTGTAGACCTCACTGATGGTTATACTTACTGAAGCTCCTCCTGAAGGTGTTTTCTGTAGTGTGGGTCCTCTGTTGAATGCTTTCTGTTCCTTTTTTACCAGTTGCTATTGCTTGTTTTCTAGTTCATAACTATGTGCCCAACAGCACTCATCACTTTCTTCTGTCCTGCAGAGGGCTTGTTTTTTTGGGTAAAGAAACCATTATAAGGAAGCAGCATTGAACAGTGAAAAGAAAGGGGCTTTGCCATCATTCTTGAGGTGCAGACTTAGATTAAACTAAGGTCTAAAGATGACAAGGGATCCAAAAGACAAGATTATGGAAACTTAGACCAGGGGTAAGTGCCACTAATGGCACTGCTGTACTGGAGGAAGGGTGATACTCAAGCCATCAGCAAATGGGGGAAGGGTCTTTTACAGAAAACCAGCACTAGTGTCCACCTAACAGAATCACTCTGGGGTTGGTGCATCTGGCTACGTGTGATACTGTGTAAAATAACTTGCTTTGCTGCATTTCCTTTTGATACAGTGCTTCTGCATGATGAAATCTGCTTTGATTCAGTTATATTTAGAGGCGAGGTGATGTCAATCTGTTACATAAATTCAGCCAAAAACCACATTTGAGTTTAATAGTTCATGAGGGAATTTGATCATGGAAAATTCATGAGTCTCTTAAAAGAAACTCTTGAACAAGTTGTTTGTCCCTGGGTTGTTTGCACATAGCCAACGTTACAGTCTGGAGATAACAGAAAATGGCATTTTCTCTCTGGTAATGTGACCAAAGCTGTGTGTGTATGAACTTGAAAAGGTTCTGCCCTAAGGTTGTCCAGAACATCATCTAGAGAACAGATTAACAATGCTTCCATGCTTGGGTTGTTTATAATGTGACAGCTTATTGCTGTTTACTTCTGTCACCTTCAGCTGCACCAAAACCAAGCAGATCACATCTCATTCCAAACTAGGTGGTGTAACCAAAGCTTTACTGGATTCCTTCAGAGCTATTTAAATCTTCTCCAATACAGGAACATGAAAGTTTGCTTGATCATTGTTTAGGGAGGGACAGAAATACTTCAAACCTTAATGTTATTCCTAAGCAACTTCCATCCCAGGCTGGCACCACAGACTATTTCATAATGTTTGTCTTACAAGGACTTCAGAGGCAGAGCTTTGCCATAGGTGTTGGATACTGTGCCTCACGTGTTTCTGGGAGCAGAATTGCCTTGACTTGGGCACTAACTTCATGTGCCCAGGCAGATGAATTTCCCCAGAGTCTGTGACACCAGTCACTATGGTCTTTGAGACAAAGCTGGAGCCTTACGAAGGTGAAGAGTTCGGAATCAGCTCCCAGAGGAGGAGGGATGGGAAATCTCTTACCTTTTCAGCTGCCTTTGTGTCCTTGAATGTAGCCCATGGAAATCCCAGCTAGCTGCTCTGTTGCAATGGCAGATATTAGTAGTGGGCTCCCACTGTTACATCTGCAAGTCAGGGGGCCTGCCCAGCTTCAGTGTTTTCAGCATTCATGGGTCTGGTCACAAAACAGGATTTAATAGTCACCAGGGAATCTTAAAAATACTCCATTTTGCTGTTGTGTCTTAATCTCTTGGAGTAGAAGGAGATGGTGCCATTGCATGCCTCCATTTGAGGTTTGCTCAGGTGAGCTCTGCCCTGGGATTGTTCATCTTTGCTGCTTCACTGCCATGAAAGCTGCCATTTGGCACCATGTTGAGAATACAGCTCACAGCCAGTCTGACAGTGTTACGTAGTAGGTGTCAGCTGGTCACTGTCCTAATAACATGTTTTTCTCTCTCTTTCCACCCCCACCCCCTTACTAGGCCTACACCAGCCAGTTTGTCTCTTTGGTGATGTTTGCTCTGATGATGTGTGATGACAGAATTTCCATGCAGGAGAGGCGGAAGGAAATCATGCGTGGTCTGAAGGGGCTGCCAGGTAGGAAACTGCCTCATTTATTGCATCTTGCCAAGTCAAACTCAGCAGCACAGACAAACTTGGGCAGTGTCTGAATTTTTCTTTGAAGACCCAGGGGGTTGAAACATGCAGCATGGCTATTGGCAAGAATTTTCACAGCCATGTTCTCTCAGATGTCTACGGACCCCTAAATTGAAGTATTAACACACTGAGTCTTGTCTTTATGCAAGTCACTGTGTGTATGAAGTATCAACGTGTAGCTTGAGAGGCCCAGGCATCTGAGCACACACAGCCTGAATTCTTCTCTTTCCTTCTAGACCTAATTAAAGAAGTGTTGAGTATGGATGATGAGATCCAGAAGCTGGCCACAGAGCTATACCATCAGAAGTCTGTTCTCATCATGGGACGTGGCTACCATTATGCTACGTGTCTGGAGGGAGCTTTGGTACAAGATCTCTGTCTTTATTTTTCTTTGTTTACATGTAGCTGCAGATTTACATGGGCTGCAGATTTCCACAGAGGAATCAAGATGTGGCCACAGGTGGTTGTAGGGGCAGCTCACAGCTCTGGCACGGGGGCTGATGTACTGGGTCAGACAGCTACAGCTCACTCTGATGCTGCTGAGGCTGGTGCATGAAGATGCCCAGGTCACACAAAGCCACAGCTGCAGTGGTTTCAAAGGTGTACCTTCTGCATTCACACTGGGGGTGCTTTCCTCTGACAGGCTGGGCACCCTGCTAAAATCAGTTCTGTGACCTCTTGGGGGGCACTTCCAGGAGTGGTCAGCACCCAAAACCGAGCATGTACTTCCTCAAACCTGCATATTGCAGTGTTTACTTTTGAGGAGATTCCTGTTGTCTGCAGGTGACAGCACTGGTGACAGGTCCTCTTTGTGTTTCCCTGCCCAGTGACAGACATGGATGGCTGGTGGCAAAGCATAGGGCCTGGGGCGGGTTTTATGTGTTGGTGGCCTGCAAGCAGATCAGCCCAGATCTCAGTTCTTGGGCTGCAGGCTGGATCTAAGGAGAGCCAGAACACATTTTTTACCAAGTTACAGAAAAAGCAGAAGAAGCACAGAGATGATTAAAAAGACAGTTACAGGTTTGCCCGAAGCTTTATGAATTATTTTGTTCTCTCTCTAGAAAATTAAAGAGATCACCTACATGCACTCGGAAGGGATCCTGGCAGGTGAGCTGAAGCACGGGCCTCTCGCGCTGGTGGACAAGCTCATGCCCGTGATCATGATCATCATGAGAGACCACACCTATGCCAAGTGCCAGAACGCTCTGCAGCAGGTCATCGCACGGCAGGTACCTACCTGGGGGAGGTTACAGCACGTCAGAGATGCTGCTTTTAAGAGAAAAGCCAGTTAGAGGGCACCCAAACTATTTGCTTTGGTGTCACTGCCCGAAATGCAAGTTCAGTCGATACTCTGGGCATTTCAAGTGCAATTTTTGCAGCAGATTGCAGAAGTCTGGTGTGGTTTGTTACCCCTTAAAATATGCTGCAGGGGTGCCCATGGGATGCTCAGCTGGTTTGCTCTAAATGAAATAAAAAGTTCTTGTCACTGGCTTTGTGAACAGAAGGGAGAAAAGGACCTTCCAGACCCGTTTTCCTTCAGCACTTCTCTTTGTTGCAGGGGCGACCTGTGGTCATTTGTGATAAGGAGGACATTGAGACGATTAAGAACAACAAGAGAACAATCAAAGTTCCCCATTCAGTGGACTGTCTGCAGGGGATCCTGAGCGTTATCCCCCTTCAGCTTCTGGCTTTCCACCTGGCAGTCCTCAGAGGCTATGATGTGAGTACAGCATTCCTTCCCTTCTGCACTTGTGCTTGCTGTCCTCAGATCTGGAAAAGATGCGTTGGGTGACGTTGGAAGCCTGTGGGGGGTTGTCTGTATGGCTGCCTGAGCTGCTGGAACGACCAGGCTAATGGCAGACCTGGCACTTAGAGCAGCTTCTGGTGGGCAGCGGGCGAGGCGCGGGCAGGCTGAGGTTGGACCCGTGTCTGTTCCCCGGGGCGAGCACGCGCCTGCTGGAGGGCTGGTAGGGTGCTGAGAGGAGGCACTGACCACAGGTGGGCTGTTTGACCAACAGCCTCTCTTCGTGGAGGTGTTTGATCTGGACACAGACACTGGCCTCTACCTGTTATCACCGTGACCTTTTGTCATTTGACCACTGTAACAACACAGACTGAAGGGACCAACTCCTTGGTTCTTGGCAGAGGAGCTGTAACAGATGAGGTTTATGGACTTTTTTTGCACCAATTGTCCTAAATTTAACACAAAAATACATTCAGTTGTTTTCAGTTTAAACACAGAACAAATGTTCCACACGTTACAAAGTTATACACAAACAAAGTGTGTAAATACTCACAAGCATGTTCTTTCTCCTCCCTCTCTGCAGGTTGATTTTCCAAGAAATCTGGCCAAGTCCGTAACTGTAGAGTGAAAGATCATCTGAATCATAGGGGCAAAGGGGAATTAAATGAAAGACTTTTTTGGTACCAAAATAACTTGATTTTAAAGTCCCCTAGGTAAATCTTATTTTGGTAAATCATTGTTTGTGTATAAGATCACCATAATTCCATTACATTAGTGATTGTCCAATCAACTCCACATGCTATGTCGATAGCTTTGGGTTTTTTTCAAGAACAGACTTCCATGAAAGATGTTAAATGGTTTTCTTTAAAGATTACTGAGTCTTCTAGGTAAAGGGCCCTCCACTTTACTTTAAGATGATGTTTCTTACCCAGTGTGGCTCATTCCAATCACTGACAAGAAACCATTGAATGACTTACCTGTCATGCTTTCAGGCAGTGAAGCAGGATACCAGAATATACAACTGGAAGAAGAGCTGTTACTGGTCATGCTTGTGCAGATATTTTAACATGTAAACAAGAATTTGGGGTCAATTTCTGCCTCATGTACAAAAGGGAATTCAGCTGACCTGTCACAACCTCCTAAATTTTAGGCACGTGGTAGATGTGCTAAGAAAATAACGTGGTTTCAGAAGGATTTCATCTATGCCAAATACCTAGCAGGTGACAATCTCTAGGCTTGGTGGCCACCACACCCTGTGCAGCACCTGCACGGACCCGTAGTTGTGCCCATGAAGACAGGGGGACTCGCCTTCGAGGGGGAATGGAAGCAGTGGCTGACTCAGACCAAAGTGGGGGAGGAGGGGAGTGTGACCCGGGCTCAGTTTGTCCTGGGGTTCTGTTGTTGCTCTTGTGTTTATTCATTTTTTTTTTTAAGCAAGTAGAAGTCTTCCTGCCTTGAGAATTTTCCCCTTGAGCTGAGCCCTGTGGCACTATAACCAAGTCCTGAGGCACCAGCTTTATGCTGCTGCAGGTCCCTTCTAGGCTGAGTGCATGGGGGGAGGCTCCTGCCTTGTGCCTCGCTGGCAGATGGCACCAGTGCTGCCCCTCCCGGGCTGGCTGTGCTGCCACAGGGCCCTGGTGACAGCTGGGCCCTGGCTCACCTAGGAGCAGTGTGTGTGTGTGACTTGTGTCAAATTCAGCTGCTTTAAAATTGGAGGGGATAAAAAAGGCTCAAGCGACACGACAGAAAGGTATATTTTGGTTTTATAACAAACTTGCAGAGAACTGGAACTCACACAGAAAATACACCTTCAGGACTTAACTCTGACTTTTCCCAAGTCATTACAGGGCAGTTAGCTTTGTATTTCTTAATGCAAGAGGGTGAATTTCCTACCAGCTTGCTGAGTTTTGAGTGAGCTTTGCACAGGCAGCACGCTGCAGGGCGCAGAGCAATGCTTGCAGGTGCTGGTGGATGCTGCAGGTCCCTCCTGCCCTGGAGAGCCCCGTGACTGCGGCCGTGCCAGGGGGCTCCCTGCAGAACCCAGTTCTCCCAGCACAGCTGGCTCCTGCAGAACCCAGTTCTCCCAGCACAGCTGGCTCCTGCAGAACCCAGTTCTCCCAGCACAGCTGGCTCCTGCCACGCACCGTCCCAGGCACACTCGTTCCGTGGAAGGCAACTGCTCAGACCAAGGTGTCTCCAGAGACTGACTGTGGCAATTCTACTTTCTATAAAAACACACCAACTATTTAATTCACTGTCAGCTCAAGATTTAGTTTTATCCTGAGAATGAAAAGCTGTGTGCGTGGAAACAGCTTCTCAAAACAAACATATGTATGTTTATTAGTATATTGTATTCAGACTATTAATTTACAAACACATTGTGCTGCTGGTGCCTGTTCAAGAACAAAGCAGTAAACATTGTGTTTTATTTATAAAGCATTTGCTCCTGAGGAGGCACCGACTCCGGACAGTTGTGTGCCTCTGCCTAAACATGACCAGTAGACTTCCCTGCTTCCTTTGAAGATGCCACTTGTCCTTAAGGAAAAACAAACCCGTGTTCAGTGCTAACAATTGGAAGCCAGTTCCTCTCCCTCTTCCTCCCACTCTTCTTGCGAAGAGAAACTCTGCAAACCTTGCACATGGAGGGCTGGAACGAAATCAGGGTTCCTCCCCCTGCCAGCACAGTCCCACAAGGACTAGCAGTATCATCCCCATGTTCTCCTTAGTTAGTGTGGGGTCATATGAAAGAACCCTGCCAAAGAATTACTCCTAAGATCTCTTTCTCCTGTTTTCCTTGGAGGAAAAGCAGCAAGCATTGCTTTTATCCTGCCTTGTACAGCTGCCTGCCCACTGGCTTCCCGAGTCCCTGGCGAACAGGATGTAGACATCCCCCTTAAAACACAGGTCACTGCTGAGTAAAAGTTTGCTAATGCAGGCTGTTAAATATTTATGAAAGTAAGTTTTATACAAAGAGGACCAAAGAACAGGAGTCTAAGTTAGAAGTGTAAGTCTGACGCTCGTGTCAGGTGTAACTGTACAGATATTGCTGAGCTATTTGGTTTTATGCTGTGATAGACAGATCCTTAATCTTTGTAATTTAAGGCGTTAAAACTCTTGCCAGATCCCTGCCTGGCAGAAGGAAAGGTTGTACCCCCCCCTGCGTTCTGCCAGCAAACTGCCTGACGTGTGTCAGCTCTGCCTGCCAAAACAGAGGTTTAGTCGCTGCTTGCAGCCCGGCTGCTGGCTGTTGTAATGTTTAGTCTCAAAGGCTGCTGTGGAGCACACTTGCTATGAAGAATTTCTCTGACGAGCATGATAGGGAATCCATGAAGCATCTCGTTGTTGTTAATTGCCATGCCTGTGTGAAGTGAGAATGTATAAAGGACTCTTAGCTCTCCATACCTCATCCTGTCTAGATGTGTTGCGTTTTGATGAACAGATGATGTTTCTCTTTTCCTTAGAAAACTTTTAGAATGTCTTGTGATATTTATTAACAGCCAGTCAGTCTTCTGCTCTCCAAAATGAATGTTTTGCCTACTGAGCCAGTAAAATTCCCTCCTTCCCACCTGAGGTGTTTAAAAATTCAGTAGCCCTCTCAGTAAAATGGAGCCACAGGTAAATACAGATAAAGGCCTTTGCCATTTGGAACAGCAGCTGCCTGTTACTGCGTACTTCTGTCAGAATTTATTTTGATTTCAGTAACTGTTTTCCTCATCTGTGTCTACAGAGGCTTAAAGGGAAGCACACGCCCACAGGTCTTAGGGGTTTTAATTACCAAAGACCAGAGAACTTCAGGCTCAGCACATGTTGTTTCTGCCCAGCAGATCTCAGACAGTTTCCACGCCACTGGTAAGGTTACTGTGTAGGACATGGAGTTGTGCATGGAACAGGCGTGTGTCAGGAAGGGTGTTCTGCCCAGCTCTGCTGTAGGCAGTTCTGTCCTCACTCTGTCAGAGAGTAGATACTGTCTGTGTGGATATTCCCACAAAGAGCCCAAAGCAGCATTTGGGCAGCCGTGTCCTTGTAAGCTGCAGTGGCATGGCAAATGCCATCTCCTTTCCAGCCTGGTCTTACTGACTCGAAGGTCATCACGTGCCACTGGCACAGGGACTCGAGCCAGGGAGCTGCCTCCTCACCAGTGTCTGTGCTGGAAGCTGAAATCTTCCCACAGACCGTCCCAGGGGCATGTGTGAGGGAGCTGGTGGCTGTGGCACAGCACGTGACCGGGCTCGCTTAGGAGCCTTAGGACTGGCCTGGACACACTGGGTCTGCTTTAGCTGCAGATGGAAGCTTCTAGAGGCGTGAGAAAGACCAACACCTCGGTGTAAAATGAGGCTTTTCTCCTCTCCAGCCCTCACGGGTAGTCCTTGACCCACAGGCAGGTGCCTGGTGGCAGCGTGTCAGAGGGAGAGGAGGGGACTGAAATTCAGCGCCTCGAGTAGCACATCAGTGTTCAGCTCTGGCTCATTTTAGATCCTACCTGAGTGTTCCAAACTGGCCTCAGAGCTTGGAGTTCCCTCCTCTACAGCAGAAACAGGAAGAAGAGGAAACAAAGAAGTATTTGGTTGGACTAAAAGGAAAGAAAACTATTTGCCTTCAATTCAGTTTATGTAAATAGATATTTGAAATGGCAGATGCCACCCCTTCTTCCCTTCTAGATCTATTTGCCTCTGCCTGTGCATATCCAACTGGCTTGGTTTGTGGGGACCAGTCTGTACCTTGTTTCCTGTCATGTGCTGTATGCAGAAGATGTCTTACTTTTGTCTGTAGTGTTTTATAATTTGGGTTTTGTCTTTTTGCTTACTTTTTTGTATCTCACCCTTTGAATAAAATCAAGTGCCCTACATTAAACAAATGGAATTATGGGTCTTTAGTTAAATCCATTTAAGAACAGGTGAACCCCTCAGAAAGCCAAGGCCAGGATGTACAAAGCAGAACTCGGGGCTTAACCTGCCTCTCCTGACTGGCCAGGCTTTTGTTTGGGGCTGAAGAGAATGTGTTTCAACTGCCCTTTCCTACCCACAGCTTTGCAAAGAGGAAAGCCCATATAATACTCCTAGAGCAGAACAGTCAGTGTCACCTTCTGTACCTTAATTCTTATTTAACTACCATTTTCTATCACCAGGAGGTGAGCCAAAATTCAGTCAGTACACTCCATACACAACCCACGCTTAGTGAATATTGTTACATGTGCTCCACAACTGGGACTCGGTTTAATTTTCAGGACAGAGGAATCTGTTTGGGTAAGGTGCAGACAGGCTGCTCTGCACACCCAGCAGTGGAGGACTACGACAGATGCTGGGAGAGTACAATTAAGTGCACATTCTTGTAAGACAACAGCTGGGGGCTTAGAGATTGTTCATGTCTGAAAAATGCCTGGGTAACTTTGTAAGCAAAACCCACAATGACAAGGACTGTCTGAAATTCCATCCCTCCTCCAGCCGGAGCCGTTCGTGGATTAATGTCCTCAGGGACCTTCACCTCTCCAGGGGAAGAACATCAGAAACAATCATGTAATTTCCTAGATAATGTGGGCAGCTTGGGTTTCCTCTGCTCACAAATACCTTTCCTGTACAAGTACCGGTGTTAAAAGGTCACAAAGCTACTTGTTAAGGCTTATTGCCTTGAAACAACTTGCATGTGTCCTTAGCATCACCATGAAAGTCAGTGCCTACGCAGATGTGGGCAGCAAGACCGTCCACTCTTGCTTGCTCTGATCTGCATGAACAGTTCTAGCTTGTACTGCAGTCAGACAGACAAACAGGGCAAGCTGCTCCGAGCTTTAGGCTTTTGTTGTCAGGTCACATCTGCCTGGGACGCCAGAGGAGCAGGGAACGTTGCAGCGAGTGAGCACAGAAAGTTGGCTGGGTGCAG